GGATGTTTATAGCAGCCTTATTGATAATTGCCAAAACTTGGAGACAACCAAGATGCCCTTCAGTAGGTGAATGGGTAAATAAACTGTGGTACATCCAGACAATGGAGTATTATTCAGCACTAAAAAGAAATGAGCTATCAAGCCATGGAAAAACACGGAGAAACCTTAAATGCATATAATCAAGTAAAAGAAGCCAGTCTGAAAAGGCTACATTATTGTTTATTTCAAACTATATGGTTTTTGGAAAAGGCAAAACTATGGAGACAATAAAAAGACCGGTGGTTGCCAGGAGTTTGGAAGGAGGGAGGTGGAAAGGGAGGGATGATTAGGTGGGGCATAGAAGATGCCCAGGGAAGTGAAACTCTCCTGTATAATACTATAATGGTTGATACATGTCATTATAAATGTATCCAAACCCATAGAATGTGCAATACCAAGAGTAAACCATAAAGTAAACTATGGACTCTAGATGATAATGATGTGTCAATGTAGATTCATCACTTGTACCAAATGTACCACTCTGGTGAGGGCTGTTGATAGTGGGGGTGGTGCTGCCTGTGTTGGGGCAGGGAGTATTAGGGAAATCTCTGTACCTTCGGCCTAATTTTGCTATGAATCAAAAACTGTTCTAAAAAATTACATTTAGAAATAGCACTACTATTTAAATGCATTTTCTCTAAACTTATTTAGATCAAGGTATACATCCTAATATTCTCCAATTAAACTTGAGGGTATCACTATATAATAGTAATCATACAAAACTTACGAAGCTGAATCATCCAGAAAATGTAAATTATGCTCATCATATTTTGTTTAAGAAAGCAAGGAATTGTGCAATTCATTTTTAAACTGTTAAAATGTAATTATAAAATGTAAATACATGTTTTTAAACTGCTTAGAAGCTGTTTGGGAGTCTAAGAGGTGTCCTCAGGAATTTGGGCAATTAACTTAGAAATTATAAGAATCACAGCACAGAAAGAAGGCATTTTTGTAAAACCATAAATTCTACGATCCCTTCACCCTATTCAGAGAGCTTACCACTTAAAGGCTTGAAATGTTATTTTTCTATGCAACACAGATTTTTATTAACACTTACAAAGCAAGTGGCAGTTTATTCCTCAAATCCTAGTCTCTTAGTTCATGAATACTTAATATTAATTTTAAAAAAAGACAATTCTAATGCTACTTAGTAAAGAGAAATGCAGAGTATTTATTTCAAATGACTTCAACAGGAAGAGTTTTTTCATGAAAGGTAAAAAAAGTGATCTAAAGGAAGATTATAAAATGAGGTTCAAAGCAGTTGACCCCCCCAAAAAAAATTTTGAAAAAGATATTAAAAATAAGACACTCAAGCAGAAAGAGTTTAAAATAACATTTCAACATAATAAAGAAGGCTTCCACTACAGCAGACCACAGAAATCCACGTCACACACAGCTTTAGTAAGATTTCACCTTGAACGGTGACTTAAGAAGTTATAAGAGGTACACAAATGAATCACGACATCTGCCTTCTTAACATTAATCGTCCAGTGAACATCAATAGATATATATATACCACAGGTATAAAGAGGCTAAAATCCACACTGTGATTTTACACTATTCTTCCAGCTTTTTCCTTTTTAAATCCGATACAGTGCACAACCTCCACAAAAGAAAAATACTTATAAACCTGCATAAAGGTCTGTCTGGCCAAATTCTCTCTTTTGAAATGCTCATGTGTGTAGAAAGTCCTTGAATGCACAAGAGTAAATGAATGAATAAGAAGGCTTTAATTCCTCTTAAAAGAGTAATCACCAAAGTCCAGGCAAAGCAGAAAGGAAAAAATATATACACAAAATAAAATCACCACTAAAAGATCCCATTTTCACTACTTTTTCTTTTCTATCTGTTCCTGACTACTCACAAAGCTGGTGCTTTAAACTCAAAACATCACTAATAAGCCCATGTTCACAGCCACCTCACTTATAAAAATGCTTTAACTCTTCAGCACTTAAACTCATGTGACTTTAGCTTACTCTTAATTTCTTAAAAAAACAGGAAATCATGTAATCTGGGAAACAAATTTTCTCCCTGTTAATACTGTCCATCTACTTCCCAAGTACTACATAAAAATTGAGAAGCAGGGCTTCTGTAAATAGGAGAAAGTAAGGATTAAAGCTTTTGTTCTTTGCAATACTTGTCAAAGAAATGTTTTGTTTGTTTTCTTCCTGAAAAAGGAGCAAAAAGAGATTACTATAATAGTTAAATGCCATTTCCCAAGCTCTGAAGGCTTTTCCTAACAAGGACAAACGTATCAGATTCGCTTTGCCATTTCTACAAATAGAATGCTGTTACATTTACCATTGTTCAGATAAAAAAACACCGGGCCATAAGGAAGTTGTGACTTCATGTCTCACAATAAAATGGTGGCAAACCTTTGTTAGTTGTTATGAAATAGTCTGTTAACAACTACCATGAAATGAAAATCTCTCACAGACACTGTTCATATAAATACAGGTGTGCCTGACTTTAACAGAAAACATAATCCTGAAAGCTGTGTATCTGAAAGGCACTCCCCCCACAAACACTACCTGAATGCAACTAATTTTAGATATTTGAAACTTACTTTTCTTAAAGTAAGGCAGATTTACATTTTTTCAGGCATTTCAGACACCTGAGGAGAAAAAATACCATGGCTCTACTATCAGGAGCTATCAGGGAAAATGCTATTAGTGAGCAAGTGCTATTAGTTCTGACTGAGAGGAAGAAGCATGGACATGCCATATATAGCAGGTAAGTCTGAGAAAAATGGTCAGAGAAGAAGCTATGACCAGGAGTTGAAGCCTGGGTCATATGACTGCTAAGGTCTTGAACAAAAAGTGACTATACTAAACATTTAGGTATGTTTAAGCAGTGATGATGGGTAAGTACTGATTGGTTTACATTTCTGTCTACTCTTCCTTGTGAGTGAGATGTCAGGGATGGAATCTAAAAGCAGAAAATAAAGTTTGACTTTCTCCCATATGAAAACCGACCATGGTTTAAGACTTAAGAATCAACTACTATAAACATAACCTAGAACTGATTTTTTTAGAAAAGCAAAGAGGTAACTCAATGGGAAAGAATATGGTATCATAAAAAGAACCTCAACCTCTAATTCACACCATATAAAAACTAATTGTAGACGGTAGAAGAAAACATAAAATGTCTTTCATCTCCTGGGGACAAAGATTTCTTAGGATTCAAAAAGTAGTAACCATAAAACAAAAAAAACTGATAATTGATTTCACAAATATTTACAACTTTTGCACATCTATTGACACCACTAAGAAAATGAGTAGGTAAGCCACAGACTAGAAGAATCTATTCACAGTACACATATTTAGGAAAGAATTTATATCCAGAATTTATAAAGAATTTCTACAAATCAACAATTAAATGACACACGTCATAAAAGATATACAAATGGTCAATAAGCACAAGTAACAGTGCTCAGAAGAGAAACTACTACATATCTACTACAACTGCTAGAATGAAAAAGAATAACAACTCCAAGTGTTGTCAAGACTGAAAGAGACAACTCTCATTCACTGCTGGTAGAAACAGAAAATGGTTAAGAATGCTTTGGGGTACTGATGGGCAGTTTCCTATGAAGTTAAACAATACCTACCATATGACCCAACAGCAATTCCAATTTTAGGTATTTACCCAAAAGAACTGAAAACATATGCCCACTGAAAGATTTAAAAATTCCTAATAGTAAGGGGCGCCTGGGTGGCTCAGTCGTTAAGCATCTGCCTTCGGCTCAGGTCATGATCCCGGGGTCCTGGGATCGAGCCCTGCATCGGGCTCTCTGCTCGGCGGGAAGCCTGCTTCTCCCTCTCCCACTCCCCCTGCTTGTGTTCCCTCTCTTGCTGTGTGTCTCTCTGTCAAATAAATAAAATCTTTAAAAAAAAATAAAATAAAATAAAAATTCCTAATAGTAAAACACTGTTAATAATCAAAATGTTCATCAACATTAGAATAAATAAAAACTTGTGTGGTATATTTGTGCAATGGAATACTACTAAGCCTTAAAAAGAAACAAATTACTGGGGCCCCTGGGTGCTTCAGTCGGTTGAGTGTCCTGTCCAAATCTTGATCTCGGCTCAGGTCATGATCTCGGCTCAGGTCATGATCTCAGCTCAGGTCATAATCTTGGAGTCATGAGATCAAGCCCCACGTCAGGCTCCATGCTGGGTGTGGAGCCTGCTTAAGATTCTCTTACTCTCGGGCGCCTGGGTGGCTCAGTTGGTTAAGCGACTGCCTTCGGCTCAGGTCATGATCCTGGAGTCCCGGGATCGAGTCCCACATCGGGCTCCCTCCCCCCTCTTGTGCTCTCTCTCTCTCTCTCTCAAATAAATAAATAATTAAAAAAAAAAAAGATTCTCTTACTCTCTCCCCCTGCCCCTCCCCTTCTCTAAAAAAAGAAAAAAAAAAAATACCGATTCCTGAAAAACAAACAATAATCTCATACTGAGCCAAAGAAGCCAGATGATTCCACTTATATGAAGTAACAGAATCAGCGAAACTAATCTATGGTGATAGAAATCACATCAATGGTTACTTTTGGAGAAAGTGGGGAGAAAGCAAGAATGAAGTCTAGGGGATGATAATAATGTTGTAAATCTTGACAGGGTTGGGGGCTACCCACATGTGTACATATGTCAAAAAATCACAAATTATATACTCAAATGTTATAAACTACCTAACTGTATAAAAGTTGAACATTTCAAGTTGTCATATAAAACAAAGGACAATGTGACTATAAGGATATCTGTCATTCATTTACTCTAGAGCAACTTATTTTAAAAGAATTGTATTAAATATAAATCAAAGTAAACTAGCTAGATGTGATTAATAAAAATTACAACAGAAGCAACTGTAACCAACCAAAATTGAACCATAGTAACAAAAAAAACCTCACACTGTTAGCATAGTTACTGAATTCAAATTTCTGTACTTATGAAAGGTACACATACCTTTTCCTAAATGTGTGTTTATGCTCATATATCTAGCTGTTCCTGTAAGGCTCTTGTGTTCTCTGTATGGTATGTGTTTCTTTGTCTCTGGATCAATATATTCCTTTGCCAAACCAAAATCTATAATATGAATAACTTGCTGGGTTTTATTTCCTGGTCGTCCTATTAAGAAGTTCTCAGGCTTTACATCTCTGTATATCAAGTTCTTTGAGTGGACATATTCCATGCGAGAGATCTTGATTCACAAAAAAATAAAAAAAGAAAAGAAAGAAAGTTTTATTTTAGGCTGTCACTAGCATAAAAAAGCATGATAGAGACATGACAAAATTCTCATAAACAACATAAAGAAGAAAATAATTAGAAACTGTTTCAGCCCTTTACAAGTAACATAATAATCAGTCTATAGTTTCTCAAAAATAGATCCAATTATGACCAAAAGTCTTTGCTTTCACTGTAATGGTCACTTATAGAACAAAGTATTTGAATTTCATGAATTCCTTTCATACCAGTGAACCGGATTCAGACAGCACTTACAGATGATGCCACCTCAGACAATCAAAAAGCTTTATTTACTAATACCAAGTCTTGAACTGAGACATATAAAGAGACATATTCATAAAGTCACCATTTGTTCTTCCTTATCAATTCAATCATCAAGCAACTGTTACTGTTATATTAAAGAAACTTACAGTCTAAACTGTTAAATAAAAACAACACAGTACCCTTCAGGATATCTTTCTTTTTCCTTTTTATAACTTACTTATGTCTTTCCTTAGGTATTGAACATTTTTAAAAGATCTTAAAACCAGAAAATTTTGGAAGACCACTTTAATTATAATATAGTACATTTTCAACAATTCTTTTACATATTCTCAAATAATGTTCATTGTACAAAATATCACAACATAGGACATTACAAACAAGAAAACAAAATTGCTTCATTTAGCCATAATAAAGGTAGACAACACAATGTACACATACAGTCACTTAGGCCATTTTCATTTGTTGACAAATTCTGGATCATAATAATATACAGTATTTCTAGGACCCATACTTTTAATGATATATGTTGAGCATTTTCCAGGTTATAGGACAGTCTTTTAATACACACTTTTTAATGGCTATGTATTATTTTATGGCTATTAATAATTTACTCAACTAATCCTGTAATTTCTCTACATTTGGGTTGTTTCCCATGTTATGATAAACATCCTTGCACAAAAAACTTTTAAGTGTATATGAAGAGTTCCACTGGATATATTTGTAGAGGTGGAATTAATGAGTCAATGGAGAAAAACAGCTTTAAGATTTTGCAACATACTATTGGCAGAGATTTCAAAACTGCCTTAAATCATCCTCTAAGTTGTTTCCCCATTGGTTCCCTGAAATTTAAATATTTTATAAGACTCCCTCATTGTTTCTTCTTTTTCTAGGCCATTAGAATTTATTACTAACATTATAAATCCATGTTTCTGAGGGTTCTCTTTTCTAAGCATTCATCTTCTATATGAAAATAGGGCTAGAAACAATTCTCAAACTTGAGAACATTCTGATCTTAAAGCAGTAAGGTATTAATTCTTTCACCCAAATAAAATACAGTTGGCTTAGTTATTTTAAGTTCTATGCATCCTAATAGAAACTTCATTAGATCAAATGTTCTGTAAAGATAACATCACAAAACTTGAAACTTTCAATATGAATGTATGACCGAAAGAACCATACAACCGTTCAGTTTCAGAACCTTCTACTTGACTTACCAGCTGGATAGCGATCATGAGAACTGTCTTAAGAGAAAACGTCCTGTCACATAAATCAAACAAATCTTCCAAACTAGGTCCCAGCAGTTCGAGCACCATGGCGTTGTATTTACCACAAGGGCCAAAATAGTAAACTTGAGGTATACCATCTGGGGGGAAAGAAAAAGGATTTTAATCTTTTCCTCATCTTAAATATCCAACTTTTCTTCCTAGAAAATAAGCAATTTAAGAAATATTTTTGTTTTAAGAAGTGCAGCACTATTTGCACTTTTTCCATACACACAATGAACTTTTCCTGAGCCAACCTTCTCTCTCCCTGTACCTTTTTCATGTTCACAGGGCAGCCTGGTTACACCTGTCCTGCAGCTGCATTACTGAACGACATCACAGACAGTGCTTCCGTGTTGGTCTCCAACACCTCACCAGAGACAGGAACGGGGCCTTCTAACCTCATATTTCCATGGCCTACAGAAACACTTGCTGCACTGGAAAGATTCAATTTTTTTTTTTTTTTTTTTTTAACAAAGAAGTCGCTGCTCTCTTGAATAAGTCTGAGGGAGGCATAATGCTCTATCACCCTCCAAGATTCCCGTCCTCTGGTGTACACACGCCATACAATTCCCTCCCCGTGAGTGCAGGTAAGACCCCAGATTTCACTCTCGTGATTAGGTTACGTTATGTGACAAAAGTAATGTAAATAAGGCCCCATCAGTGCGCCTGACCTAATCAGGTAAGCCCTTTAAAAAAGAGGTTCTAAAAGTCAAAGATATTCAAAGCAGCAGAGAAGCTCTCTTGTTGATTTTTAAGAAGGAAACTGTCCTGTCGTAGAAGACACCACATGCCCTGGAATGGTGGACAGGCTCTAGGAACTGAGGGCCTCAATCCCATAGCCGTAAGGAACTGAACTCTGGAAATAACCAGTGAGCTTGGAGAAGGACTCTGAGCCTCAAGCCAGACTCTAGTCCAGGCTTACACCTTGATTACAGCCTGACAAAACCCTCAAAAGAAGACCCAGTTCACCCATCCCTGGAGTCCTGGCCTATAGAAATTGGGAGATAAGGAAGTCTCTTGCACTATGCCACTAAATACTAAGTAATTTATTATATGATAATATAAAATAATACAAATTCCAAATTTGAAGTCTAAATGCACAGAAATCTGTATTTGATTTTTAGAACTAAGAGTTTCACAATAAACTAACATATCATCAGTGATCAATTTATCTTAACAATGTATTTATTTATTCATTTGTACAAAGTAAACTTCTTCCATCTTCAATGTCTCACTTTTACTTCCAAGTGATTTGTTTTTCCTGCTTGCTAGTTTGTTTTTAGTAATTTTAGAAGGGAAAAGACTCTCTCAAGATAAAACTTTCTTACTCTTTTCTAAACTGTCCTATTCTTTTTTAAATACATTTCCGTTTGCTTCTCCCTAACATTAGTGGTTTGGATAAGACCAGTTTTCCTCAAATGTCAATGAGTGAGGCAGCAGAACATCTGGGGATGGGAAGGCAAGAAAATAAATCATGGTGCGGGTGGGGAAAAGGGGTAAGTTCATACTCCATACATGATCCCCCTCCCCAGAAAGAGATTCCCGTCCAACCCCTCCATGTGTGTATGTCAGCACACACCGCCACACACACACACACACACACACACACACACACTGTACTTCCCTTCATCACAGGGTATCACTATTTTAGTGTAAGCCACTCTTATCAGAGCCTGTCTTGCATGCACGTGTCAGATCTACCCCTCACACGTGTAAAAGTAAAAAAAAAAAAAAAGTTCAGAAATAGTGAATGAGAAGCTCACTAAAGTTTATTCCAACTCTGAAATACTACTTTTGTTGTGCTATACACTGCTTTTATTATGCTATTAAGAGCCTGGAGCTGCAATTAAGACATTAAAACTTCTCAGCTACTAAGCTTTTAAAATTATTTCCACAATGCCTTGTTTTCCCCACTCTACAACTGAAAGTTAATTTTCATGCTGTTAATTTAGCTATCTCTAATAACTCACTTCTACTCTTTAGTTTATTGCTTCTGATCTGTAGGATGCAAGCAAACCAGATCATCAAGTTTGTTAGAACTATATATGGAATGTAAAAATAAACAGGTTCTGAGGTTCTTCCATGAAGGACTGTCAAAGGGCTTTTTGACTTCCTTCTGAGTCACTATCTGTATTCCTAATAATTGAAGTTGTTGTGAAATGACCTCCCAATAAGGCAGCAATATACTCTGGTTGATTAAATGACTGATTTAGGGACGCCTGGGTGGCTCAGTCAGTTAAGCGCGTCTGCCTTCGGCTCAGATCACAATCCTGGGGTCCTGGGATCGAGTCCCACATCGGGTTCCTTGCTCAGCAAGGAATCTGCTTCTTCCTCTGCCCCTCCCCCTGCTCGTGCACACTCTCTCTCTCTCTGTCTGACAAATAAATAAAATCTTTAAAAAAAAAACAAAAATAAATGACTGATTTATTCAAATGTTTTCAAAGATTTCCAAAAACAAAATCATTTAAGAACTTTCACTGTCTTAAGTAATTCAATGAATGCTTACAAAATATCCACTACATCCTTATGCACAGGGTGGGACATTACGGATTAAGGGTGGACAAGACACCATGATCAAGGATAATTTAACCCAGGAATGCAAGTTTATGTTAACATCCAAATATCCACCAATGCAATTCACTACAGTAACAGAATAAATATGAAAAACCATGACATCATCTTAATAGATACTGAAAAAGCATGTGTGACATTAACTCTCAGCAAATCTGGAATTGAAGGTTAACTTCTTCAACCTGGTAAAGGGCCTCTATGAGAAACTCACAACTAATATCATACTTAACGGTGAAAGAATGAATGCTTTCCATTTATGACTGGGAACAAGACAAGGATATCCACTTTCACCTCTTTTATTCAACAGTGCAATGAAGCAAAAAAAAATAAATAAAAGGCATTCTCAAAAATGAACAAAGAGTCTGTTACTTTCAGAAAAAGTGAAATAATTTACTTGTTCCTATTTGTTACCAATAATAAAATTTAAGCTTTCACATAAAAATCAGATTTTGGCTAAATCTGTACCTGCCAAGATGACCTCTGAAAACTTCCCAATACTAAAAGAGAAAAATACAATACCTTTTCCGATAAACCGTGGTGACACTATTATGACTTAATTTTAGGTAATAAATATAGCAATAACTGAAAATCTAATTCAGTAAACCAGTATTTTCCAAGCGACCAAGGCATGTGTTTATAAATCCATGCACAGGTAAGGGGCGCCTGGGTGGCTCAGTCAGTTAAGTGGCTGCCTTAGGCTCAGGTCGTGGTCCCAGGGTCCTGGGATCGAGCCCCGCGTCGGGCTCCCTGCTCAGTGGGGAGTCTGCTTCTCCCTCTCCCTCTGCCTGCCTCTCTGCCTACTTCTGCTTTCTATCTCTCTGTCAAATAAATAAATAAAATCTTTAAAAAAAATGCACAGGTAAATAATCTAAAGTATAATGGATTTTAATGTAAGAGAGAATAGGAAAAGGTTTTTCCATATGGCTTCTAACTCTATACTGCAACTTTAAGAAACTACCACCGGTAAAGTTTTAGTGTAGTGCCAAAATTAACAATTTAAAGGTTAATTAATTAGCCTAGACTAACAAAGCTGTGAGTTAAAATCTTATTGGAGAAATACGAATTGGGACATTTTTGGAGGAAAATTGCCCTAACCTTTTCAAAACAAGCAAAAACATGCATACAATTATATTGAAGCTGTTGCTGATAACAGTAAAAAAAAAAAAAGAAAGAAAAGAAAAAGAAAAAGAAACCGAATGGGAACCACCTAAACATTCATCAACTCCAGACTAACAAAACCAATTATATTATACCCACACTGTGGAACATAACATAGACTTTTAATTACCTGTGGAAATAAATTGTGAAGGACAAACTTCTGCTTTTTACTTCTTATAAGTATGAAGTGATCAATTTTGTTGTTTACAACAACCATACATTACTTTTAACATAAAATGTTTCTAATGAATCATTAAACACACATACAAAAAGATACCGGAAGGAAAAACCAGAAAGCTAACAGATTACTGGAAGCACAGGTGATTTCTACTTCCAAATTGTTATGAAGAACACATGCTATTTTTACAACCAGGAATAAAATGCTCGTTTTTAAAATTTTTCTGGGACCACAAACAAAATCTTGAACTGGAAAATGATTTAGACTACATTTATTTAATCCATGTATTAACTCATTGAGCAAGTATTTCTTAAACATTCTCCCAAATATTGAAAATTATACAGGTGTACTGCTACTCTTATTAACTGTTAGCTTCATTCCAGAGCTCCTAGAAACAAAGCTAAGTATACCTTAGGACTCTGGGCCTTATAACGTGTGTGGTTTCCCCGGCCTTCCCAGTGCACCTCACTAACACAAGGAACAGACTTATTCAAAGGTAACAATTTACTCTGCCTCATTTCAAGCTCTTCTAAAGCTGCATTTCAAAAATTTCTACTCTAGTTCTGCCATCCAAGCTGCCAGCTTCAATTTTTACCCAACCTTCAAATCTCCTCTTATCAAACTATCTCTATTAAGCATGACATGAAATTTATAATTATTCACACACAATTTCTCACAGATGAGGAAAGGCATGCATAAGTAAATATGCTCTGCTCTATTTCATATAAGCCAACTCGTTGCCAGGAGAATTACCGTGTACCTAACATGCACATTCAATGAAGCTATTTATATAACATACCTTTGAGTTTCTAAAATAACACCATGAGAAAGATCAGCAAAGGGACAAAAACTGTTTTGGTTTTCTCAAAAACTTCCTTTCTTTAATGGTTTCAAAGTGTCTCAAAATTATGTATCTCTACCTTACTCATGATGGCTAAATTCCATAAAAGGCATTACATTTTACTGAGTAAATTTAAGTCTACAATTTGAACAAAAATACTTCAGCTTTATCATGCAACATAATTTTACCTTAAAATATGACTCAGCATAAATCGTTGGGGAATAAAAAAAAGATAACCCTAAATGACTCTTTAAGATACATACTGTTCTATGAATCAATGAGTGTACTTCTTAGGTAAGTATTAATAATGTATTTCAACACCAATTTCATGTCACTGAAGTATAAAATCA